ATGATGCAAGGGAACCAAAATGCTCAGTTTGAATTTGTTTTGCATAGTGTTCCAAGCTAGAGGAGCAGCGCACATAAAAGCTTTAGTACCTAAAACAGTCCTAGCACTTGGCACATGTAATAAAAACACATCCTGGGATCTCAGGCAATAGCTACTTGCCACTCTCTGTGAAATCAGAGAACAGATGTAAGTTGGTAGTTTACCCAACATAGCTTTATAGATGAATATGTACCAATGACTGAGCATCCGTACAGTAAGTGAAGGCAGACTTGCCTTGGCATACAGGGTACAGTGATGAGTAAGTGCTTTACAGTTAGTAACAAATCTCAGAGCACAGTGATAGGCGGCATCTAACTTTTCCAGGTAATGGGCAGGTGCATTCATATATATCAAATCACCATAGTCCAGCACAGGTAAAAAGGTCACAGTAACTAGCCTTTTTCTGGCTTCAAATGAGAAACGGGACTTGTTTCTAAAAAAGAAACCTAGTCTAACCCTCAGCTTTTTAAGCAGATTAATAACCTGAAGTTTAAAAGTAAGACAATCATCAAGCCAGATACCAAGGTATTTGTAACAGGTAACCACTTCGAGTACTTGTCCTTGCATAGTAACAATATCCAAAGCAGTCTCTGGAGTCTTTTTAGCTTTAGAAAAGAGCATTACCTTGGTTTTATCAACATTTAAAAGAAGCTTAAGCTCAGCGAGCTGAGTCTGAATAATGTTAAAAACAGCCTGTAACTTAACACCCGCCTCCTTAATGGAGGGACCTGCACAGTACATCACGGTATCATCCGCATAAAAATGTAAAGTAGCTTCATCCACATTTTCACCTAAACTATTGATATATATATGGAGAATAAAAGTGGACCTAAAACAGAACCTTGAGGAACACCATTAGCAATGTTCAACCACTCAGAAGACAGCCCATCAAAGTGAACACATTGGGACCTTTCAGAGAGGTAGTTCACAAACCACCCCACTGCATGGCTGGATATGCCAATACTGAGTAGCCTCTGCTTTAAGATGCGATGATCGACGGTGTCAAACGCTTTGGAAAGGTCAATAAATAGGGCTGCACAACTCTGCTTATTATCTAAAATACTCGTAATGTCATTCACCACTTTCATTGTCGCAGTGATGGTGCTATGTTTCTTTCTGAAAACTGCTCACAACAAGGTCTGTGGATTATTTTGAGTATCAGGGTCATGAGTTCTGGAAAGCGATATCGATGTTAAGTTTTTAGTTTTTTCCGCTTTGATGACCACTACCAGAGTGCCATTGAGATACATAATGTCAGGAGAAAGCAGCCATCTGTATGGCTAATATCAACAACACTGCAACTCGCACCAAAACAATCTAGATTAAAACCAGTTTATCTTTTATGCTTTTTTGATTCTGGTGTAAACTTTCCAACCACTTGCTTCTCAGTTACTGTGCAATAGTAACTTATAATCATTAATAATGTCAACCCTGTGTGTCTTACAGAGGCCATGTCTGGTTGGTCCCAGCCCCTGATGAGCAGCCACATGATGCACCCTCAGCTGCAGCAGGAGCAGTCTGCCTTCTCTCAGCACCAGCCCATGGAGCAGGACGACACCGGCATTGCAAACCCTGCGAATAACTACCACCAGGCTCAGCATCTGCCCAACAGCTACATGGACTTTCCTAAGGTAGGATTTATCAATAGCTCTGTAGATGATTTAACCCCTGTCCCTCCTATGTACAAATGATAACCAATGACATATTGTTTTCTGTTCAGGGGATGCCTATGTCGATGTATGGAGGAACCATGCTGCCCCCTCATCCTCCCATGGCAGAGGGGCCAGGGGGGCCGATGTACAATGGTTTGCACGCTGGTGATCCCGCATGGAGCCCCATCATCAAAGTGGTCCCAAACAATGCGGATAACTCTGACCCACAGCAGCAGGTAAAGTCCTCTTTTGTTATACCCCTGCCAACTAATCATATTCTTAGTTAGACTTTCAACCCTGTATTTCTGCTTTCAGCCATGAGTATATTATTTGATGCAGTCTTTCTAACATATACCCTGTGTTGGTCCTCTCTCCCCTCAGGTGTGGCCTGGTACCTGGGCACCTCATGTCGGCAACGTGCACCTGAACCACGTCAACTAGAGAGCGTCCACAGCAATCAAACGCACACAGCATGACCCACAGCGCTAACCTGAAATACCAACTGACGAATATGACCGAATAAGACGATGAAAAAAAGAAAAACGTACATGTTAACTTTAGTAGAGACCTGAGAGTGCAGAGCAGAGGTTGAAGAATTGGATGTTCTCATGACGCCATTCTTTAATGTTCCCATCTCAAACAAATAAAGAGGAAATTGGGCGAAAATTGTTATCAGTGTCCTGATGATGCAAACAACATGCGCGATCACCTGTTTAACAGGATCCATTCTCTGCGTAGTTTAGCGATTTTGACTTAAACCCACATACACCGTTCTTGGGCTGCAGGGGGCTCAACATGAAGTAGCTATTTAAACTTGGCCCAGAACTAGATGATGATTACCTAAAGAGAAAGAGAAATCGGAACCTTTTAGAGTGGTAAATACATGTATAATTGTTTACATACTAAAAAGGGTTAAAATGAGAGTAAATTTCATGTCGTATAGTGGCTCTACTTTATGTAGCCTGTATTAATGTGAAATATTTACCTTAATATTCAATAAAAAGATTGAAAAGTATTTGTGTTCTTTCTTATGAAACATACTTTTCTTTACTACTACATCTCTACTATTCTTTCCTGTTGTGACATTAGACTTTTTCACAGCTGGAGTCCTTGTGCAATCTTGAGACCTTCCTTTGTGGTTGCAAATTTGCCTTGAATTAATTATTTAGATAAAAATGTTTAACATAAATGACTAATTCACTTGTATAGATGTTTAGTTTAGGGCTTGCCCCTCAAGCCCAATAATACACGAGTAGGATACACCTGTTCAATCTGGCGTTAGACCAACCAGCTGGACATCTTTCATTGGTCTCTATCTGCAGCCGGAAGAGACGAGTGAGCAGGGACATACATTTTTGAATAAAAATGCTTTTTAATGATTTTGGTTATCTTTCTTTTTCTTTTTTGAAATATTCAATAATTTCACTGTTGTAAAGTGAAGTGCTACCCCTCCCACATCAATGGTCTCAACCAAAACACGTAATGTAAAGATATATGCTTTTGAATAGGTTTAGTGATTTTTACTTTGGTAAAATATGTAATACCTTCACTATTATACAGTGTAATCTGATGGAAGGCGCGCAATACATCCAATTTTCACTTACAAACATTTAAAGGGGACCTATCATGCAAAATGCACTTTTGTACGTCTTTTATACATGAATATGTGTCCCCGGTGTTCCAGGGAACTCACCAAGTGTCAGAAAACACAACCCTCTCTATTTTCCTCCATACCCAAATCTCTAAAAAAGGGGCTGCAACGGATCTGATAACTGATCCAGATTTGAACACTGTCCTGACGTCAGGACAGTGGCGCTACGGCTATTGGGCCAACTCCACCAATCAGGAGGAGACAGCCACGGCCATTGCCGTTCGAAAGCGCTGGAGACGCTGTAGTACATATGCCAGGCCTGTAGATGGTGCTGTTCTCACAGAATCTGCCCTTGCAAAAACAGAGCTAAAAAATGTCAAATTGAGCAAAATGAGGCATGGCTAAAATGCATGATCTGTTTGGTATTTTGAAAAAAAAAAAGTATAAATATGCCTTATATAGGTATGGTCCTATACTATATTATTCAAATATAGCATGATAGGTCCACTTTAAGGTACACAACACTTATCCAGTTTACTTTAAATGGTGTTAATAGGGTGATTCTCTGAATCGGGTGCCTTTTGGGACTTAACATTTTTTTGATCATAAAATCTGGTAGTGGACTGCTTAAACCTTTGAAAAAACACATTTTCCCACCTCAGGCACAACATCCAAATAATTACTAGGAATTTCCTTGAAAAAATGTGACCGGCTTGAATGTGACGGGGTTGACGTTTTTGACAAAAAGAAGCCATGAGACCTTGTTTAGCTAAGATATGGCACCACATGGAAGGAAGTCAAGGACATTACACAATTGTAATATTTTGCAAAACTTGTTTATTTTTTAATAAACAATTATTTACTATTAACAGTTGAAATGTTGAGTTTGTCAATCTTAATCTGACTAAAAAAACTGAAATATAGGTAAGAGAAGATACTGACACTTGGTTTTCTTTGCCGCCTTTCCTTCAGAAGACTTTTGTGATGTTATTCCCTCAAAGCAGATGACACATGGACTGATCCATTATTTTAATAGGAGGGTAAATGGTATGGCGTGACGGGGTTGAAACAAACTGGGGGACGTGAGTCAATATTGCAATTTCATAGTTAATTCAAGTATTTTTTCAGAATTTCTTTCTGTTCAGTTAAAGTTGACAAGCATATGATTATATTAGCAGCAACATTTTGGGATAATTGGCCATTTTGATTTGTTTAATATTCAATGAATATGTAATGATGCTTAGTGAGGACATGCACATATGTCTGTCTACTACTAAGACAACCAATATTTAAAAAACAATATATGTTTTTTTAACATTTGCATTACAATGTAAAACTAAATATATATATATATTTAGTTTTACATTGTAATGCAAAACAACCTGTTCCATTAATTCATTGCTTTAAAATACATTTTGTAGTTTCCTTTCATTTAAAATCTTTGAAGTAAGCTTGGGGGACTCAAAGAGCACCCGATTCAGAGAATCACCCAATACTGTATGGTTAAAAATAAATTAAACAAAGTTAAAAAAGAGCAAGCGAACCTCCACCCTGCTCTGATGACGTGTACTCTTTATTTAACAGTGAAATGTTGGAATTTTAATTTCTGTTTTGTATTGTTTGCACAGCACATAGCGGGCGACTGACGCCAGGAGGAGGTATACAAATGCTCACGACACTCATGGCGACACTCCTGACTTTGCGACTTTTATTGTGAAGTCAGAGTGCTAAGTGAAACCGGAAGTGTAGTTATTTGGTTTGTCAGTCTCAGGTAGACATGGCGGCGTCTACAGCAACAGCGGTCCCGGAGAAATCACCTAAATCATCTCCGCCTGAGTTTGTGCCCTTTGACTTTTCTAAGCCCCCGCTTATCGATGGCTTCAACCCTTTAGCCAAACTCAAAGATGAGACGTTAAAAGAAAAGTTACTGAGAAAGACAAAGGAGAACCCCTTCGTCCCGATAGGTGAGTTATACAAGCTGAGCAAAGTTACACAAGTGCAGCACAGAGCAGAAACAGCGTGTCCTTTACTCTACAGTGGGCTCCAATCAAAGATATCTAATACTATTTAAAGCTATACCTACCTCAACTGATGGAAGCATGCTAGACAACAGTAATGCATCATGCTAACATCAGAGAAAAAGGGGCTAACCTAATACATGTCTTCCTTTTTGAGTCAGCACAAAAACAAATGTTGTCATTCGAGTTTCGTTCATCGATGACTTGCTTATTTTGTATTTGAAGCTCTGTGAACATAGCTTAAGTTGACCGTGCAATTAGCAATGCCCTTGGAAAAAGGTTGTCAAGGTTTAGGTTACATAAACCACAAAAACAAACTTTAAAAAAAAAATATATGTTGCATTTTTGTTTTCAAGTTATTACATATGCATCTCTAAACTTCTGCAGAAATCCTTAAAGTGGACCTATCATGCTATATTTAAATGATATATTGTAGGGCCATACCTATATAAGGTATATGTATACGTTTCTGTTTTCAAAATACCAAACAGATCATGCATTTTAGCCATGCCTCATTTCGCTCTATGTGCTGTTTGCTGTCTACGGGGCTGATCTCTGTGAGCTGCAGCTGATTGGCTGACGCCTCCGTCGAAGCTTCAAAAGTTGAACATTGCTCAACTTTTGCAGCGAGCACCGCGTAGCGACGCTCCCACAATGTAGTTCGGCGAAGCGTGACGTCACCCCATTCACACACTCTTCAACGCTTCTGTCCATTCACTTTGAATTGGGTGACATCACGCTTCGCCGAACTGCATTGTGGGAGCGTTGCTCGCTGCAAAAGTTGAGCAATGTTCAACTTTTGAAGCTTCGACGGAGGCGTCAGCCAATCAAATCTCGCTTATGCAAATCTGACAGTACAAGCGCTAGCCAATCAAACCGCGTGTATGCTGGAAGAGCCATCGAGTCATTTCCTCATGTTCCAAAAAATGGAGGATAAAATAATAATAGCAGTAGGGAATCACCCGGTCCTATACGACCAGTCCCCCTTTATCTACCGGGATACAAACCGAAGGAGCCAGGCATGGAGGGAGGTGGCAGATACAGTGGTAGGTTTTCGCCTGTTTGGGGAGTTTATATCCAGTTTACTTCGGGCTTTTTTGCTTTGTATGTCGGGGGCGGGAGATTCATGTGATTGGTTGTTGGTCGCGTTGCTCGCGAGAAATCCCCAAGCTTCACACACGCCCACCGCCAAGCTTCAACGCACGCCGCCGTGTGGACGGGCCGTAAGACATTACTAGCTGGGGAATGTTTTTTAAGTTGGCATTAAAGAGCAATTTACCCTTAAATGTGGGGACTTTACAGCTATTAAGGCCAAAATGTCTAAGTGGCATCATTTATCTATATAATCTGACCCTTACAGCAAGCAAGTGTCTGAATATTATCATATTATTTGTGAACTGAAAGGCACTTCAGTATTGCAATAGTATATGACATTAGATTCAGTATCTTCTAATTAAATTGAACTTGTTTTAGGTTAAATTCAACATGTCCAGTTAATGTCTTCTTTTCCGTTACATTTCTGCTTTGTGTTCTCCAGGTTGTTTGTTCACAGCCGGAGCTCTGATTTATGGCCTCCGTGCCTTCAATCTTGGGAAAACCAAACAGTCCCAGCTGTCGATGAGAGGGCGAATCTTCGCCCAAGGCTTCACTGTAGTGGCCCTTGTTTTTGGTATCTTTACCACCACTATGAAACCCAAGGAATGAAGACGGACCAATCCCACACCTCTGCCTATTCATTCAACCCGGAATCAGATCCAACGGGGAAATTGGACTGATTTGAAGTATCTGAATAATGTATTATGTTGTCTGCATTGTTCGGATATACCCATGCTAATGCCAACACTATTTATTGTCATTTGAAAACTGTGAATTGCTCATGGGGACAACATATTTGACTTTGGGCTTGCACTATGTAACAACAAAGTATAATCGTCTCCTTACCAGCAAGCTGGATTTTACTTTTGTTCTACTCTAAAAGCATTTAAGCAAGATGTCGATAAATATAAATGACATTCTTAGACAGACCCATTCTCAATGTCAGCCTTTTACACTTGGCAGACTTTCCATTTCACTTAAATCTTTCAGTAGGAGGGCTCTAAATGTTGTATTAGAAAATGTTTCCCATGCTAAAATGTGTGGCCTTGCACCAGTAAACGTGCTTCTCAGTTTCCCATGTATTTATTTTTACCTTAAAATGATGGGTGTATATACTCTAAATGGATATTTGCACCAGCCTCAAAGTATAGCTGTATATCATCAACTTGGATTTCAATGATTAGCAGTCTTAGCTGGGAAATATACAAGGACACGTTCATTTAGGTGATCATACTCCACTGTTTTTATTTTCCAGTTCCCTTTTGACATTCACTCGTTTCAGTATTAATTATGTCCAAATAGGCAACATGTGAAACAACGTGCTGACTTTACAGTTCAAATTGACACATTGATTACTGTTAAAAAATCTAAAACATCTTGGTGTAACACAGAAATGGAGCGTAAAACTTCTGCTGAGAAAATCAAAGAAATGAGAAATCGCACAAACTGTTGATCAAATTAACTTTGAAAATTTAGATGAGAAATCTTTGGTTGTGAATTTCTTGTTTCTCTGAAATCTTGCCTAATCAAGAGGAAATCCATCTGGCTGAATATTCAAACTGGAGCAAGAGCTACATCAAAAAGGCCACAAGCTTGTGAAATTGAAAGATAACCATATGCTAGCTACGTTAAATATTGTAATCAGGGATATCGTACAACCATGTGATCAGACTTTGTGGTTAAGTCAACGTTGATGAGAGGCATAAGCGGTTACAATCTAACACGCAATAGTGCTTAATAAGTGTTTGTCATTGACCAAAATGCAAATGTATACAATTTAAATGCGTGCATCCAAAATATTTGCAAAGGCATGCAAGAAAACTGACCTAATAACAGTTTATAAGTTAAAGGGGAATACAAATATTTAACTTACAATGACAATATTTTCTTAAGTATAGCAGTGATAAAACTGACAGCGAAAGCATGTCGTAACAATAGAGCAGTCCTTCATCTTCTCAAGAGAGTGGGGTTGAGTATATTATCTCAATATAATTAGTAGGCATCAAAAAAGGAGTGAAGTTTTCAAAGCCTATAAACATACCAGGAATTTTATGGAAAAGGGCATACAAACTCTTCTGATGTAACGTGATGTTAAAACTGAAAAGGCAAATTTTTCTAGAACAAAATTCTCTCCACGAGCTCCTCTAACGGACTAGAGGTGTCTGTTTGAGAGAGATGAGAACAGAACGCATTCGAGAGACGTCCTTTGCCGTTTTGTTGGTTTTCGGATTGAAGTCACAGAGCCGGGCCACTCTCTCCCATTCTGATCCTGGGCTCTCACCGTCGGTCTCTGCCAGGAACGCCTCCTCGGATGCTCTGCAGGAGGGAGGGACACCAGAGACAAGCTATGACTGGGCTGTAATATTAGAGGGGTTTTAGAACGATTTCCAAACCAGACATGGTGCATCAATCACATGAATTGAACCATGCATAACATTCAGCAGAACTTCATGCGTCTTTTTATACCAATCAGACATTGTTGGAGACATATTTATGTTTTATAACCAATGGCTTATGTAACCAACACACACAAATGCAGAAAATACCAAATTAGGTCTTCAAAAACAAGTCATTTTAGTGTTTGGGCATGCATAAGGTGAAAAACAACTATATGGAATTCCCTGAACAACATTAAAAAAGCGTAAGAACTCTAAACCTACACAAAGCCTATAACATCAGAGTTAGGCTGTTTGTAGAAAGCCTTGTCAGCAATCCTATTGCACAGGCAAGGCCAAGAAAGCAGGAAAAAGAAGGAGAGAGGAGATTAGTTTCAGTGTCAAAAAGAAGCAGAGAATAGTTAGGGCCCGAGAAACAGTTCTAAGGATTAGTGAATAAAATGTTTAAGGTGGACTGAAAATAATCTTTCGCACTACTGTTAAACTGGTGCTGCTAATAAATACATTTAGACTGGCGAAGCACTTAAGGCAACTACAGTGTGCTTTGGGGCTAGGCTTTAGCGTAGAAGAAAAATATGACATTTTCTCTTTGCTGTTTTCATTCCTGTTAGCTTCCTGTTATGTTTCCCTGGTTTTCTAACTGGACACACAGCCTTAGACTAATAACTCCTCAGAGGATTGGATTATTTTATCAGCAGACACAGGGGAGAGGAAATTGGCGAAAGCTAGAGCTACAGATGCAGAGTGATACCGTGCTAGACTTGGACAGAGTCTGTTGGAAAGTGTGAGAGAAGAACGGGGTTAGCTTGGTCAAGAGAAGAAGAGGTTGCAATGTTTTGTAAGAATAACGGGGGGAAAAACTGGACCCAGACTAAAACACACATTTTAAGTGGTAGACAGTCTTTATACTAACAATAAACACATTAAATCAGCAATACTATCAATCATTTCGAACACATAACTGTTACACTTCACGACGACCTTCAACATTTGATCCTTTGGTGCTGACCAACAGGATTATTTTAACTCCCTGCATAGCACATTAAAAAAAATTGTTCACCAAAATGTTACATATCCCACCAAACATAATAAAGTCTTATACCAAATATAAAACAGTGCATTCCAGTTCATATGCACAGTAAAACAATGTTTCGAAGGGTTTCTACCAGTAAAATATACTCTTAATTGAATGTGTTTGGTGTAGTGATTACAGCATTACGTTATCCTAATGTTACACTATTTCTGTGCACCTTAACTGGGGACGCGTCTGACACTAACCTGTTGTTGGCCTTGTTCTTCTCCATCTGCTCACTCTGATGTACATGCCAGTCCTCCAGCTCCTTTTTAGCTTTCTCTTTCCACTCTGCCTCTGCTGTCTTGGAAGCCAAGTCTTTTTAAGGAGAAAAGGCAAAGAAAAACAACATAGTCAGAGTCCTCAGGAGAGGAATCTAAAATATCTGACATATTATAAGGTCTTAGTTTCACGCAATTAGATAGGCTGCATCATTTGTCTTAATAAGGTAAACTGCAAAAAGACTAAATCCCAGGGACTCATTACAGCTGCTAAGTAGGAAGGACATGACGCAGTATGATTCATTCTTTGTTCACCTAGTGCTTCAAGGCGTGTCTTCTGCTCCTCCCTCCACTTGCGTAAACTCTCTGGCTCTTGCCTCTGAATATCCACCTGGGCAATGGCTGCATAGCTGTCAGTCGGGCCATTGGACTCCTTTTAGAGGACATAAAACATTTGCTCCATTATAAACAAGTCTATTTAATTTAAAATACTAAGTGAACTGTAAATCCATCACGGCATGAGATGAAGTAATTCCAATACAAACAAAAAGGGAAGGTCTCCTTATTGATTTCATGGTGTTCGGATTTAAACCAAACCACACTTACAAACATATATATGTTGCCAATAATTACATATAATTGAATAATAAGATTAAAGATGCATGTTAAGCTCACCTCAAACATGTCCCCATTCACTGTGGCAGGCTCGTCCTCGAAACAGTCTAACATTTTGACAGGAAAGAGTAAGTATATGTTAGTGTTGAGTTTTCCAGTTAGCTAACCTTCCTCATCATCTGGGTTAACTAATGGTCACTAGTATGGCAGTGTCACTTTGTTCCTCAGATAAACTTAGACCTGAGAAATGCAGCGGCACCTGTTTGGCCACTAACGTTCATGTTGTCAGTGCAGCTTTGTCAGGAAACAGAACAAGTTTTTACCATAGAAGTGTACAGTCGACTTAGCTAAAATAATTTATCTCAATCAACACTAACGTTTGCTATATACTGTTACCATCAGAGGTGTAAGAAGTACTTAGATATTTTACTTAAGCAAAAGTACAAAAGCATTGGCAAGAGTAAATCAAAATTCTCAAGTACATAGACCCCAAAATCGTACTTTAGTACAGTACTTGAGTAAATGTACTTCACTACATTACACCACTGGTTACCATTCATTCTTTCTCGACCATAGACAGTGTTTGAATATTGCCCCTTCCCTCACATTATCTCAGTCATGACCATCAGCACTAACAATAGCACAGACTGTACCGTTTCCATCCTGTTACATGATTCATACTGTTATACCCATCTATTATTATGCATATTGATATAATACACCATACTCTAGCCTGCTTTTAATATATTTTATTTAGTTTTAGATTAATCATGCAGCACATCAAGCATTTTTATCCTGGACTGGAATGTTTTCATTTATGTCAGCTTATATTTTTAACAATTCTTATATGCTAGCTTATATGTTTGTTTGTTTGTATGTATAGTTTCTTAATATTTAGGTGTGGAGAGCTGAGCGTAAGAAAGTCAGTGCAACTGCCTGTTATACTGTATATATGACAATAATATATATTGAATCTTGACAGTTTATCATCTGTATCTAATGTTAAAGCAGAATGTGCTGTGGAATTATTCAAGTGACGTTGCGTTGTCGGTGTGCAAACGAACGTCAGCTAGCTACTTACAAAGCTAACTTACAATTAGTTGTATTGAAAATGCGCTCAATAACACAACCTCACTACCAACTAAGGAGTTTTGTTAATGTATAGGGATGGGGTCGTTGTTTCCTAACAGACGTTTACTATCAGTTCAACGTTATGCATAATAGCTAGCTTTTGTTAGCTTGTTAGCCGAAGCTGACATTAGCTCTAACTTGCCATAGTTGGCCGCCGGCTCGGGCTCCGGCTCCGGCTCCGGCTGAGGCGGCTGCTCCGGCTGCTCCGGCTGCTCGTCCTCCGCTGCTTCGAGAGACCCAAACCCCTCGCCGTCGTTCTCGATCCCGGCTATCTCACTCTCCTGTTGAGCCAGGAAAGCTGCGGCTGGGTCCTCTTCAGTGGGGTGTACGCCGTTGTCAGCCATCTTTCACAAAAGTGTTTACAAGTTTCACTGAGCTTGGTAGGTTTAGCTAGCTAACGTCAAAGCACTCCAATTAGGCCACCGGTTCTGCAGCGTTAATACAAACAACTTGAATGTCTTCGAATCCTAGCTATTCCAAATAGTGTTCGGTAGGAAACTAGGCACACAAAGAAATAGCCTGTTTTGCAAGATTTTAGCTTCGACTTTAGGCCTTCACTGATGATTCATGATTTCTTCACTTGTTCAGCACTGTGATGATGGAGCAGGGCAGCACCCTGAAGGTACCTTTTCACATTTGTTGCAGTTTGTCCCCATCTGCTGGCCATCTCATGCATTATCTTTAGCCACCAGGCATTGAGATGCATTTGATCACAAAAGCTACACAACATGATCTTAAAGGATGATTTAAATATTGCTGTTAACTATGCCATACTATATTTTTATATAGCACATAGTCCCATTGTATACACTAAATGCACCTCATCAGCCAATTAAACAGTTAAAAGATAACAGTAGCCTACTTGTACGGCACATTATAAACACCTTACCTCTTATTCCTAACTCCTATAAATATTGATGGAATGGACCATATAGTCTATGAATGGGACATGTTACTGTTCGTCATAAAAAAAAAAAAAATTGTCATTTTGCCAATGGAAATCAAATATAGTTCCAGTGTCATAGAGAAATAAAGGACACAAAGAAACCGCATTGACTTATACACAGATCCATAACCAAACTAAGAAGGAAATACCTCTTCAAATACTATTTAAAGTGCAGCATTATGTTTTATTTTTATTTTATTAGTATTAATAAGCAGTTATACTCATTTAATATAGAAAACCATTTTTTCAAATAGGTAAAACCTTTAAAGGATGCCTTTTCAGAAAGTGGTGACCAGCAATTTTGCAATGTAGCTGGTCTATGTGATGCTGAGCTATTTTGTACTATTTATTTAGCATAATTATTTTAAGCAAATTTCTGTTCAAATTTCGTTTTTTTTTTACTTTTGGAGGTAACATAAGGGTAAACCTGCCTAGTCAGTAGTTGATTGCACGCACCTGTGGCTTATTATTCATTATAAATGCTGTTGAAATTACGATACACTTATGTTTGGTGAACTCAGAATTCTCTGCTAAATAGCCCAGTTATTGTTGAAAAATAACACATATTTCATTATTTGTTTATGTTGTGCAATGATAAATAGTTTCCTTTTTTTTCAAAAAACAAGAAGCCATTTTTGTATTCAAAGTGGCATTTAAAGTCATTATGATGGATATGGATTGGCTCTACATGGTTTAACAGCTGAGATGTCTGCAAAGCACGGCCTCTTCTGGTTAATAGCCCGAATATGAAATGAAGCAGCTGCCCATGTGACTTCTGACGTTTCAGCCGAGTCCTGCTAAAAGGAATGTGAGGGAATGATCCTGCAGCTCACCAAAGGGAACCACGGTGGCTTCCTGACGTCCGCTTTAAGGAAGTGCGAAAGTTAGCCTACTTACCGATTGACTTTTTTATCCACTAGACTGACTCGCGATGTCTGGAGAACACATCGAAGGACAAGAGGTGAGCGCTTTTATATGTCCAGACATGTGAATGCATTCCTTCGTGAGTAGGAGTAATTTGAAAGCCAACTTTTTCACAGTTTGAGTTTTTGTATGGGTTGTGTTGTCCTTCTAACTTTGCATTTTATGGTTTTCGGCTAGCTGCTCTGAACCACCGTCGGTCTAACTACTTAAAGACAGTTTTCCTGTCCTTTCCTGCTACTTCCATAGTGAATGTGAATGGTTTATTTCAAGTTCTGCATTGCAGTGGTTTAGCGGTCTTTAAATACCTGCTAAAAAGGAAAATCTTGGACACACTTGAATCAATCAAAAGTAAGATAAATAAGTCTATAAATAGATTACCTTCAAGAAATAAGTGTCTAATTTCTTAAAAGTACTAGTTCCTATAGAAATATAACATGGACACCATAGATTATAAATAGCAATGGGCTACCATAAACAGGGACCCCGTCGCTTGAACGAGTACCACAGGCAATGCTGCTCTGTCGGCTATTGGCTTAGGGTTGATGTGGTTGGTATTTAATTAACCAAATTGCACCAGTCTTCATGCAATAACTGTTTTATTATAATCTGCTTAAAACAACAAAGTGATCCATTTGAAATGTACCCTTCATTACTTGTAGTTGCTATAGATTTTTCCCTTTCCCCCCCCCATTTTTTAAGTTGATCAAACATTATAAAAATGAGGTGAGATGAGGTAACATGGGAAAAGAGACAGTAACTTATCCAAGTTTGGTAATAAGGACTGTTTATGCCATCCAGAAAGTGTATTGACATTTAGTTTTGAACATAGACAAAATAAATAGACACAGCATTTTTGCAGGCTTTGTGGATGGGGTTAAAAGGGAAGCTTGGCTGGTTGCTTTTTACAATACGTTTGAAAAATACCTTAATGCTATTTTTGTCCATTATGTATGAGTTCAGTTTCAGTTGTTGCTATACTTAAGCCCCTCTGTTACTTAAGAACTTTATGTTAAAATGTAATTGCTAGTTTGGTTGTACTTGGTTGTGCTTCATGCCCTGCATAAGGAATGTAGAGTTTCAAAAGCTTCAGTCGTGGGCCGTGGCTGTCTGCTGCTTCTCAAGTACACTTTATTAAAAAACAAATCCATTGACTCTGCTGTTGTAGGCTTTTGCCAGAATATAGGGGTAGTTGACGATACCTCTACCCCCCTCTCTCTCTGTGACTCATGCGGGTGTTGGGCTGAAATAGTTTGGTGTAGTTTTACATTCCTTATATAGCCTCTGAGGAGTGAGCTAGGGCTAGGGCTCGCCTGTGTCACAGACAGTGTCGGGGTAGGGATTGCCAACAGAGAGAGAATCTGCTTGCCCTAGCTTACTGACTCTAACTTTCTCCCAGCATTGGGTTATCAGCCACCCCTTGAGGATAAGGTAGGTTTGCATAGGTGGCATCTTGGGAAGCTAGCTATGTGTCATGAAGGGTGATGACACCTGGGAGAGTTTAGGAGGAGGAGCGAGAGGTGTGTTAGGGTGCAGATACAGAGGTCACTTGTACAGCCGTAACTTGCAAGGAAGAGCAAGTGACGTAGCCTGATGTCTCAAGTTGCCTCTGGTTCCTAAAATTACCTCGTTATTTAGTGACTTGTCATTCTATGCCTCTGATCAGTTCTGCTGAAGTTAGTTTCAAACTGTTTGCATGGTTTCAAAGCTACGCAATTGTCTGTGAACTGTTAAATACAAATAAATGTCAAAAAAAGTGTGCATATTGTGGGCAAATGTTTTATTTTGGCTCACTTTAAATGGTTGAATTATTCTTACAAGAAATAAAATCACTTTTGTATTGTCCAGTAGATGTTCGGTGGTACTCTTTTGTATTGTTTCTGTTTGACACTGAGTTGGCCGTCTATATGAAAGCTATGAAGATTATGACGCAAATTATTTCATCCTATTAGTTTGCATTTTAATAAGTGTATGAACATTATTTCCCAGGGGCCGATGCGGTATTTTATTGCCTTGTGACACATTTAATGCATTTTTGTAACAAAGATAATACAGAAAAATATTTTCACAACAAAACCAACAACAATTGATGTCAGTTTCTGTATGGAATGTATGTGTTTTGTTTTGGAAATGAATGCACCCAACAGGCAGGATGGAGCAGAAAATGACCTTTTTTTCTCGGGCTTTTTGACTAATTAAGACCATGTTTCCTCTTTTCTCTTTCCCAAGGCTATGAACATATACTCTGTAAACCTCAGCGGCCCGGCGCCTTGGGGCTTCAGGCTGCAGGGTGGCAAGGACTTCAGCATGCCCCTCACCGTGTCTAGGGTAAGAAACTGTTAGTCAGCTTTTGTACTTCCTCGCATCTGTTAGCATGAATTTACACTCTGAGCATTTGGGTGAAAGATCATCCTGTAAAGTAATTTATGTCCAAGCTTCTAAATAAAAGCCTAATATTTCCAAGCGTTTGTTGTTAGCTCCACATAATGACCCTACCTGGTCATATCTTTTCTGGCCTGCGTAGTATGGGAGACTGTTTAGTTCATTTTCATATCATTCACATTGTTATGGTGAATATACCAACCCATATCCAGTGGATCTTAAGATGCAATACATTTGGATTGAAATAATTCATTGGTCATGCACATGCTGTTTGTTTTGCAATGCTTTCTACTCTCCATGTTAGGTCATTGCTGTTTTACTGAATTCATTTGAGATACTCTACAAACTGTTGCTATTGAAGAGAGCAGCAACCACTTTCCAGGCCTTATAAGTGCAGTGCTACTTTGCCTGACAAACACAGTCTCCCTCGCGCAGTCACACACACATGCACACACATAAAATCATTCCTACGTTGCTGCTGCCAGCAAATTGCGCACACAGAACTGACATTCTACTATGCACTCATTCCTTGACGACATTGTTATATTGCTACCTTTGACCTATTATCAATAATGTTCAACTAAAGACATATTTAAGAGTTAAAGGTAATCAAAAATGGGTTGGGCCTCACAAGGTTATTCCACATTCTTTCGAACTCTTTCATTTCGTTTTTTTGTAGCTGCCAAATAAATAGCTTTGAACGCATGATGCCCTTTTTTAAAATCTTGGTTTGATTTGTATGACCAACAGAGTCCAGAGGGTGTCCATGGTAGCATCACATGAAGTCTGTGTAAAGTTGATGTAATCTTGTGGCGAAGGCAGCAGTTATCACCATTCTTGTTAGTACATGTCCTGTTCCCTGGCAGGCATCTGAGTCTAAAACACAATGTTCCCCTTGGATTCATGACAAGAAACATTCTCTCCCACTCATAAAAGAGCAAACAGATGTATAACCCCATCTGACTAATTGCCCAGAAGAAAACCGGGATCATTGGTGTGTATAGGACTTGAATAGGAGGACTGGCAAGGCGTACTGTAGGTTGAATTTCAGCAGGTGTGTCAATAGTTGTGTTAATAGGTTGAATAATCCTGACTAATCAGCCAGTGCAGGTGGCCAGTTTTTCTGCAATCCAGGTACATTACACATGCTGATTATTTCCTCTGACAGAAATGTGGCTCTCCTTTTCTGTATTGCCTTTCCTTTCCAGTCTCTTTGGCATTTTGGTAGTGTACTTCTAGGATTGGATCATTAATGACTGGTCACTGGGCGAATACCTTTGAGGCGTGCTCCAGCAGTCCACCAGACCTCAGGCTACAGAAGTTAAAGATGTGACAGGGTTTCTCTCTTT